AATATGATAATATATACACATATATATGTTTTGTGTATATATACATATATAGCAAATATATATGTATATGCATATGTATATGTGTATGTGTGTGTATATATGTGTGTGTAGATATAGATGCATATGATCTTTCCTTATCCTTTCATCCATCTATGGATATTTAGATTGTTCTCACATCTTGGCTATTGTAAATAATGCTATATTGAGCATAGGAGTGCAGTTATCTCTTTAAGATACTGATTTTGTTTCCTTTGGATAAATACCCAGGAGTAAGACTGCTTGATCGTAAAGTAGTTCTATTTTTAATTTTTGAGGACCCTCATACTGTTTTCCATAGTGACTGCACCAATTTACATTTTTTAAATGTTTATTTATTTATTTTTGAGAGAGAGAGAGAAAGAGAGAATGCAGCAGGGAGGGGCAGAGATAGGGAGAGAGAATCCCAAGCTGGCTCCACACTGTTAGCACAGAGCTGGATTTCATGAACCATGAGATCATGACCTGAACTGAAATCAAGAATCGGATGCTCAACCACTGACTAAACCATCCAGGGCCCCCCCCAATCTACATTTTCATCAACAGCGAGCAAGAGTATTCTTTCTCCACGCTCTCGCTGACACTCATCAGGAACTACTTGTTAGTACCAGCCATGTCCTGGGTGCTGTGCTGGGTGGGGCTACAATGCTGAGTCTCTGTGCCCATGAGACACGCAATCCCAGGCCTTTTGCACATGTGCAGCTCCCCTCCCCAGACTTTGCTGAGGATGCCCCATCTTTCTGTAGTCGCTCTCCATCATTGGCCTTCTTGCTATCCCAAAGGGCTTAGAATCATCTCCCTAGTTTCCTGCTCCCTCCTTGAGACCACTTATGCAAAATATTAAATAAAACAAGTCATAACACCAGTGCTTGAAAAGTCCCCCAGTGCCTACTTCTCCATGCAGAAAACGGGTCTTTTTCTGTCTCTAAGTCAGTTCTCTCTCCTTGGTCAAACTGCCCAAAGTCCCACAGAGACTCATTATTTTTAAATACCTTTTCATGTGGAACCTTGTCAAAGGCTTTTGGAAAAATCTAAATCGCTAAGAGGCAAGCACTGAGCTAGGAATCAGGAGACCTGAGTTCTAGACCCAACTGTCACTGGTTTTATCACTGAACTTTGGGCAATGCATAAGACAGCTCCAACCTCAGTTTCTTCATCAGTAAAATGCGGATTATTATGCTAGTGGTCAACATCATAAAAATCTTACAACCATCCAGTGAGACAATGTTACTTAAGAATGCTGTGCAAGGTATAAAACACAAATGTAAGGGATCATTCTTTGAAAATTCATGACAGCATCTTCTTCACTCATGTGCATGATTCGCTCCCGAAAGAACTGTAGTGGATACAGAGATGGTTCGTCCAGCACTCTAAGGGTGCTGTTTGTTTAATACCAACTGCTTTCATTTCTTGAAGGGATGCAGGTTTATATAGCTGAAAGAACCTGGTTCAACATGCACTGGTGTGGTGTGTAAACACAAGGAGGCACGGACAGAATCAGTCAGACCTTGGTATGGGTCAAGGCCATGCTGTTTGCTAGAACAGCAACAGTAAGCATGAACAACTTACTAAACCTCTCTGTACCTCACCTGTAATTGGGACAGTATCAATGCACAGAGTTCTGTGGTTTAAATGAGAAGCTAATATATGTAGAAAGGCTGGCATGAGCCCTGGCACACACTAGCCACCCAGTTATTAGCAGTTCTTGTTGCTATTGTTTGTGGGAGACCAAGGGAGCCCACAACTGGGTCATCCTACCTCAATTTTATGATTGTCCATCACTCAGCAAATCCTACCACAAACTCCTTTTATCCAAGATCTGTGTGAGATTCTTTCAGCAGGGAGATGAACAAATGCTTTCCTTTCTGTTTTCTGAGATAAGTAGTGGACTGGGGAGGTGTATGAGGAGAGGGAGCCCTGCCTTTCCAATTACTGATTTCCCACCCAGGTGGAGTGTGGAAGGGGGTATCATAACCCCATCCTCCCTCCCTGGGGAAGGCTCATGAAAACTTGCCCTAGGTGCTCCCTGGTCCACCCCCTCTGTCCCTGCCCCAGCTCACCTGGCTTCCTCTGATGTCTACCTATATCCAGCCTGTCACCTTGCTCTAAAGAGCAGGGAGTGGGGGACCAATGATAAAGAAGATTGATCAGACACTGAATCCAATTTCCCTTGGGGATTAGACCATGGGCACTGGATGGGACTCATATCTAGCAGCATTCCCTAGGGGAGCCTACTCCTGCCGGCAGCCTGAGGGGGCTGGAGACAAGCCAGGGTGCTCAGTATCACTCTTGTCATTCTTGTGCTGCTGCACCAGAGTTGACTCACAGCTGGGGATGAAGCCTGGCTGGGCTGGGGGCCAAGGCCATCGCCACACGGTCAGACTTGGGTGGTAATCCCAATTGGTTTTGCATGAACTCTCATTTCATTCAGATTAAGGAAAGACCTGGCCAGGATGGACATCTGGTGGTGTGGGGGTGGGTACAGAAGCAGGAGGGCTATTGGAATCTGAAGCATTTTGATTTTCAGAGCTAAAAGTATTTTCTTTAACTCCTTTATCAGTTTTTGGTTTTGTTTTTGTTCTCATGAACTTAATGGGAAATCTGCAAAGAGGAGGTTTAACTTCATTGATTTATTTCTCCATTTTTAAAATAAATATTTGTCAAGCTCAAGTATTTCAGCATCAAAATTAGGAATGACTAGTGAAAACCGCTGGAATTGTGTAGACCAGAGACAGACGCTGACCTCAGCGCCCTGCCTTTATTTGGGTGGCACCCCCCAGGGAGTAAACATGAGAGCCATCAAGGAACAAGGTCTCATGTAATCGATGATAGGAAAAGCATGGACTTCAGAGTGGAACTGGATTCTCATTCTGTCTCCAGATTTTAGATCTCAGGCTAATTGTTTCATGTACCTCTGCCTCATTTTCCTCATCTCTTATATCAGTATATCACATAGGACTTTCGATGTTGCAGAAAGCCCTTTTGTTCCTTTAACGATAAGGAAATAACTTGAGTAACTAGAAAGTCCTGACATAGGGCAGGCTTTGGGGTCATTTTGTGCCTCGGGGGTGTCACCAAAGACCAATTTTTTTCCATCTCTGTACCTTCCCTGGTTTCAACTCCTCTCTTTATTACAAGACGGCCGCCCACAGTTCTGGGAGCTAGCTGTTTCTTTGACCCTTTTGAGGATGAGGAGAAATTCTCTGTTCTCTGATCACAAAACACTGTCTTGCCCTGCTTTGCTCTGAGTACACATGTTGATTGGCTTGGGCCTGTTTTCTTTCAATCACTGTGGCAACAGCATGAGATTAAACTGATTTGCTTGTGCCCATCAGGGAGTACCCCCAGGAAGCAGGGGGTGGGTCCAATCTTGCCCCAAAGGTGAGAGAGGGTGGAATGGATGCTAGAGGGGCCATGCAAGTCAGGACAAATGACCACTAAGCCCACAGGATTGAGAGGATTACACCAATAAGGAATTATGTGCAAAACCATTTCTCAGTGCCTGATGTGTAGGAAGGGCTTAAAAATAGTGCTTAAGAGGAAAGCAAACAAACAGAGCCTGGAACGAACCTAAAATCAAACACATAAATCACAAAATAACCTAGTGTCAAAATTCGGTGAATTCAAAAGAAACGAGAAGCAGCAGACTTTCAGATGAATTGATGTCATCAGTTGACATTACTGTGGTTTTTCCCTTCTGTAATTTGGTTCCTCTGAATAACTTCTCTTCTCCTTGATCTCATGAAAGGTTAAAAATTAAAAGTAAGAGGACATTATGGGAATATATGGAATATAATTGTTCTTTAGTTTTGTTATTGAAATCTCTAAAATTACATTGTGGGTACCTTACAGAGTCATATACAAATGGTATCTAATCAAGTTTGGTGACCCTGTAGCTACTGCCTCTCCCTGTCTCCCTCCACTGTTCCCCTCCCCTTCCCATGTTCCCTTGGTCCCAACTTAGGTGAGTAAGTAGCATTATTAGGGCTGGGCAGTGATTGTGTTGAATCCATGAGCCCAGACTTTTGACGATTCTGATGCTGGAGACCTGGGCCAGCACCCAGGGTCGGATGAGCATCATGTGGGGTTGGGAAGTCCCTGTCTTTCTAGATTTGTCCTCCACTATGGGGGATGTGGGCAAAAGTCTCTCCTGGTTGTCTCCACATTGTCTAAGCAGTTCTAGGAAGTCCTGTGGATGGCCCAGGGGTAATCTACTATGCTAAGTGTTCTCGGAAGTTTGGAGATGACTCATGCCCAATACGCATTTTCCTGGAATACTCATGTCCCCTTCTTTGGGAACATAAATAGAACCTCTAGGGCCTACATCTACTCTAAAGCTTGAAGCATAAGCCAATGGTTTAATCGCCAGAAGTAGCCCACTCAATGTGAAACTGCTTGGGTTGGCTCCTTGCCTGGTTCCCCTCAACAGTATGGCAATGATAGCTGGGTAGCAGTTTCAAAGAATCAGCCCACATCCTTACACCCAATTTATTTCCTGAGCACAAATGTAGCAAATAATATTGCCTTTCTATTACATGATGGCACTGATCTGTGGCAGTTTCAGTTACCCATTATTCACCCAATCCCCAGCTCCCACTCCCTAATACCAACCCCATCCTCTTCTCCAAAGATATACAAGCCAGGCCTCAAAGACTTAAGTCTGAGGCAGAAGTAGCCAGAGAGGATAACACTGGAGAGGTAGCCAGAGAGGATAACATGCTTTGTGGAGCCCAGTTTGGTCTCCCTGCCTTCCCTTCTCTTTGCCATTCCCAGCAGGGAGCCCATGGGGGGCTTCTATCACTCAGGCTCCTCAGAGCCTGGCCTCTGGGCACTGTGGAGGCAGAGCTCACTGCCTCTCCCTTAGCTGTTGGGAGGGTCTCTGGACTGTAGCTTGACTTATAGGATCTGAACTCACATCATCTCTCCTTTTCCTCTTCTCCACAGATCCGGGTAGATGGGCCCAGGGGCAGTGCCCTCCAGTATGAGACTGTGCAGGTGGTAGACCCCGGCCCAGTCCTCCGGGATATGGCCTTCTCCAAGGACCACGAGCAGCTCTACATCATGTCAGAAAGGCAGGTAAGGCTCTTGGGCTCTGTTAGACATTAGTCTTGCAGCTAAATGCTAGCCTGTGGCTCAGTAGAAACCTACAGGAGGCCAGCTGCAGAGGGGATTTGATTTATTTGGCTCGGTGTGTATCCTTTTGGTTAGCTGCCTGGGGACTGAGGCTGAGTGCACTGAAACAGGGGATGAAACATTTAAAATATCAAAATATCTGGGAGTCTAGAACAAATCCACTAACTTCAAAGTGATGGTGAGTATAGATTCAGGGCCAGCATTTACTCTCTTTTGAAGAAACATGGTACAGGTACCCAAGTTTTTTGTCTAGATTTCCTTACACAAAGTACAATCTACTACCAAAGTCAGCTTCCTGGACCCTGGAGGTCTATGGTGGGCAAGGATTTGCTGTCCAAAAATCTTGGCTGAGGGAGCATCATAGAACAATCAAATGGATGGAGATTCAAAAAACAGGGTCTGTGTGTATGAGGTGAGATGATATAGCTGGTGTTCTGAGCCTTCCTGTGTATACCTATAATTCTAACATGAAGTTCCAGCAAATTCCATGAGGCCAAGCCAGGAAGAACAGAGGGTGCAGACATTACTGTTAACTGACATTGAGTAGCAAGTAGCAAAGCTGGGATTGTTTCTGGAATTCAGCTGAGTACTATGTAAGTTCTTCAAGGGTCCTTGAGCTTATACAAGGACTGATACGTCTGCAGCAGGCAGAAGTATAAATATCACCTTGAAAATTCCATATATTTAAGAGTATATCCTGGAGTGCACAGCCCAGAGTGTTCCACCCCTCAAGACACACCCACCTCAAGAGTGGATTAGCACTGCCATACCTCGTCTCTCTCATCTCTATGTAGGATGGGTCATTCCCAGGAGCTGTCCCTCCAGTCCATGAATATGTATGTGACAAAGGCAGCAGCCATGAGGGGCAGATCCCATCTCTTTATTCATCTTCATTAGCAAGGCCTGAACTCCCCAGAGGACCTTGCCGACAGAGTCTGAATTGTTCTGCCTGTCCCCTCTCTGCACAGTGCAGGAGATGAATACTACATTATGCCACCCACAGGGCTTGTGCATTATGCCTTGGCAGCCCACAGCAGCTCCACCCTCCCCAAGAGCTTGATGACATCTTCTCTTGGTGTGGGACTCCCCACTCAACCACACTGGGACCCATTGTGGTGCCCTCATCGAGACTGCCGTGGCTTGGGAATTGTCTGGTGTGGGGCTCACAGAGGAACATTTTACCCCAGGAGCCAGGACGGGGTATGAGGCTGCTCCTTTGCTTTCATTCCTTGCTCTTTTCTGATGGGGCCCACACTCCCTACTCCCTGCCTACCTTTGAGGCCCTAGACGCTGATGGGAAGCAGCTTTCCTTGAGTCCCTCAGAAAAGACTCAATACCTCTACAAGGCATTAAGTATTTCAGGTTTTCTTGCCTTAATCTAAAAACCAGGATTCCTGAACCTAGAACTTTGAGAACTTCCAAAGATGGAAAATATATGCTGTGCGGAGCCTCCTCTGATAACTGAGTTGGGATTCTGAGCTCCTTCTCCTCTCCCATTCTGCTTCCCTGAGAGCACAATCAGTGGTTAGTACCTACCCAAGCAAGGAGAATAAGGTGCACTGAGAGCTCTGGATTATAGAAAAGAAAGGAAACAAGAATGGATGGGGCCAGGGCATTCATCCATTCTGGGACTGCTCCTCACAGAGATGGAGGGCAGCCTGCCATCAAAATAAAATCCCAGATGTCTCGACACTGGTATCCAGTGGGTTTGCACATTCTTTGTGGACAGTGGTAGCATAGCACAGTTAAGCGTGTAGGCTTTGGTCTCATAAATTCTGAGCATGAACCTTAGCTCCACCATTTACTAAGTATGATCTCAGGTAAGTTCCTTAACCTCCGTAAGACTCACTGTTCTCAACCATTGTATGGAAGTAATAATAACATCCGATAGTGTTCCAAGAATCAAACGATGTAACATGCATAACAAACATGAACCAAGCCTGGCGTGGAGTAAGGGCTTGATAAATGGAGTCTCTTATTTTTATGACATTGCAACAGAAGCGTCTGGACATGGTGGCTGTGTTTGAAGTCAGGCATGGGGTGGCATCAAGATCCTGGGTGATCTATCAGGTATAGAGCATAGGAGTTCAGGTCAAGGCCAAGGTGGGTAGGGAACAGGGATTCAGTCCCAGTGGAAAGCCCATCAAGGACCCAGAGCCTGCTTTGAGGGCATGTACCAAGTAGAGTTCGGGGCAAGAGCAGCCTGGTAAATACACTGGGGACCCTCCAGCCTCTGTCTGCTGGCGGGTTGGTCTCAGCCACATTGTGTCAGGACACCTGAGTCTACAGGTTAGTCTGTATACGCTCAGCAATGATGTCTGCTCTGCCTGGAGGGCACTTCCTTTCTCATCTGGGTAATTCTGACTCATTTCTCAAAACCTAGCTCTGCTCCACAATCGGTGATTGCTCACTTGTGGTTAGACACCTCTTTGGTAGCTCTTCTCATACTGGGCTTTCTCTCCTTGTCTTTCTCTCTTACCAGACTTTCAGCAGCTTGAGGGCAGCCCTGTGTCTTCTTTGTGTGTCTAAACCTCACCGAATAGGCCCTTGATAATTATTTGATGAGTTAATTAACTAATTAATTATTGATTGAATCCCCACTGTCATCATTGACCCGGAACTGGAAAAGAGAAGGACTGGAGTGCCTGGGTAGCTCAGTGGATGAAGTGTCTGACTTCGGCTCAGGTCATGATTTCATGGTTCATGGGTTCGTGCCCCGCGTTGGGCTCTGTGCTGACAGCTCAGAGCCTGGAGCCTGCTTTGGATTCTGCTTTGGATTCTGTGTCTCCCTCTCTCTCTCTGCCCCTCCCCTGCTCACACTCTGTCTCGCTCTCCTTCAAAAATAATAAACATTAAAAAAAATTTTTAGTGGGGCACCTGAGTGGCTCAGTCGGTTGAGCGTCCGACTTCAGCTAAGGTCATGATCTCACGGTCCATGAGTTCCAGCCCCACGTCGGCTCTGTGCTGATGGCTCAGAGCCTGGAGCCTGTTTCAGATTCTGTGTCTCCCTCTCTCTCTGACCCTCCCCCGTTCATGCTCTGTCTCTCTCTGTCTCAAAAATAAATAAACGTTAAAAAAAATTAAAAAAAATTTTTTTAGAGAAAAGAGAAGGACTGATACAAATTATTTATTATTTATTTATTGCTTAATTCCCAAGTTCAAACTTATGTATATAATTAAAAGACTACATTTCAGCCAAAGAAAGTATCTCCCAAATTTCCACCATCTGTTTATCACTGCCATAACTCCTGCCCTGTCCTGAACTAATTTTTACTTTATGTTTTTATTTAAGTAAACATACTGTTTAAACCTAAAAGCCTAGGGCACCTGGGTGGCACATCCCATTCTTGACTTTGGTTCTCATTATGATCTCACAGTTCATGGGTTCGAACCCCACATCAGTCTCTGTGCTGACAGTGCAGAATCTGCTTGGGATTCTCTCTCTCTCCCTGTCTCTCTGCTCCTCCCCTACTCATGTGCGTGCTCTCTCTCTCAAAATGAATAAATAAAAAGCTTTTAAAAAAAGATTATAAAAACCTAAGTAACCTACTTTAGCCATCTCTTAAATAGTAGTATTGTAGATCTGATGTGCTAGACATATATAATATACTGAATTGCAATATTGTGACTTATAATAAGAAACATATATTTGGTCTTCATCCCTATTTCTGGCACTGAGTTCCAGGACCTTTGGAGTATCCTGAGCGAATAGAGCAATGGGAGAATCTTTTGTTGTAATACTTGGTCTCTTGCCCTCAGTTTCTGAAATCTTTGGGATCCGTAAAAGTGGAAGGGGTGTCTTGTTATTCACAATAAGCCCCTTTCAACCACAACTGAATTTATGTTAACTGAGTGACTTTTGGAAATCTCCTAAAGATGGAGGGGGTGGCTGGTTGTCAGGGGAGCCAGTCATCATGTGATTAGAGGGTTGGAAAAGGTAAGGATGGTATAAGAGTAGAAGTAGAGAATGGAGTGTGTGTGTGTGCATACAAATACTATATAAGTCCTGGCTCTGAGACCATAGACAAGTTACTAACTCTCTCACTACCTCATTTATTCATTCAATATTAAATATTGAGCACCTACTATGAGTCGGCACTTTCTAGATACTAGAGATTCAGTGGGGAACAGGATAGACAAAATCCCTGCCCTGATAGTGCTTATATTTTAGGTAGAGAGACAGACAATGAATGAGTAAATGAATAAATGATGTATGTTAGGTAATGGTGAATACAATGAAAAATTTAACAGACTCAGTGGGAAGGCAGTGGTTTCCAGGAACATGATGGGGAATGCTCCTTTAAGGAAGGTTGTCAGGGAGGTGCCAAGAAGGGAACTTTCGAGCAGAGAGAAGGATAAAGTGAAGGGCAGGAGGCGACTGGTGATCAGTCGTCATCCAGGCAGAAGGAACAGCTGGCACAAAGGTTGCGAGATGGGAACACAACTTGGTGTTTCTGGGGATGCAGACGGGCTTCTCTGGAATGGGATGCACTGGGAGAGCGGCTGCACCTCAATTGTGACCTGTGAAATGGGGAATGTAATAAAGGGCATTGATCTCCTAGGGCGCCGATGAAGACTAAATGAGATAATGCCTGTAGGAAGAGCTTGGCTCAGCATCTAGAAGTGAGCGCACATCCAACCTATTATGATTATTTGCAAGTTGAATAATTCTAAGTGAGGATATTGCTTCTGCTGTTGGGAATATGTGACTTCCTCTTTATTTCTCACCTCGAATGGCTTTCACTTTCCATATAAATTTCTCCTTGGAGTGTGGCAGTGAGTGTCCACTGGGTGTGTTCACAGGGTGTGCGTGTGCGTGTGTGTGTGCACATGCATGCACGTCTGCTCCCATGTCTGTCCCCATCTGCATGTCTCCCATCAATCTCCTTCTTGCTTTGTACATGTCTGTGTGTGTGTATGGTGTGTATTTACACGACTCTAGT